AAAAAAAAAAAAAAAAAAAAATGCACTGCATTTTTTCTACTCAGAATCACACATTAGCCTAACAATATTTCTTCAGCACCCTAACTTAAATTTAATTATGGTCAGTGCTGGTATCTAGTTGGGAACATCAATGCTTTGTTAATATACTGTGGGTGCATCTAAACGTGTGCATTTACTTCACAGTAACCAAAATTACCATGTAGTACGAGCACGTGTCTATACATGCATGCCCATACTGCACAGTAAATATGGCGACTTACACTGATTTGAGCATAAATTTGATACCTGCATGACACAGGTATCAAATTTACGCCCTATTAGTTACTGTGCAGTAACTCATTTGTAGACACCTTACTGTGTAATAATGCTCTGTGTGTGGACTGACTCAGGACCAAACTTTAGTCCTGTCAGTCCACACACAGCGTTAATATGTTTTAATGCCTGCACATGTTGATGCCAGCCTATTCCTGCTTACTGCACACAAATTTAAGCCAGCATAAATGCATGTGTAGTCAAGCCCTTTATGTCTGAAATTTAAAAGGAAGGTTTGTGACTACGTTTGAAATTAAAAAGGAAGATTCAAATTAGCTTGCTCATTTTCTACCTGGAAATTTTTGTGCATTTTAAATGTAAGTAGAACAAGATAGGTTTTGTTAATACTTATAATGAATAACAGAGGACTAAAACTTAACCCTATTCTATACGATGGAGCCATCTTTACTTTGTGCTGGAATCATCACAGGGACAGCTCCCATTCTACTAAGATTAGGTGCAGCTACCTTTGGCGGTGCAAAGTTTGAATTTTGTTCAGGGGTACGTTCAAAGTCTTCACTTGGAACTTGGCTATATGGAGTCTTGGTATATCCATCCATGTTGGAAGGAGACATTGAACCCAGAGAAGAACGATTGCTGCCTACATAGCTGCGGGCTGTTGAAGTCCGACTCTTTGGAGGGGGAACATCTTCTCTGAAAAATAAAATTGCAAAGAAAACTTGATTAACCAGGACTGTATTGGTGTTTTTACATGTTCTGTGAAGTTTCTCTAATTGGCTTTTTCTATTCCAGCAAAAGTCCCAATAAATATAGCACTCAACTTTTTACTTAAAAACATATTTGTCACACTAAGAATCTCTGTTCAACCAAACAAAATATTTTGGAATATTACAAAATAGTGTATGGACAAACAGTTACATTCATACTACATTAAAAATATATGGTTTTGGAAGTAGCTGTTACACTGAGTTAATGAACCAACTTTAATCAATTAAAAACGTTCAGCTCCCATAACGAACATATTATTAATGAAAGGACAGAAATTACTTTTTAATTTTTAGAGATTACCACTCAAAGGCTTAAGACCATGGGTCATTACCTAATATCATGATGCACTTCTTTTTCATATTTCTTCTCTTTGTGCTTCTTACAGGCATACGATATGAAAAAAGCCAGTAAGCAGAGCCCCAGCAATGTTCCTATAATCGCTCCTGCAATTATGCCACCTACATTTACAGCTAGAACAGAGAAAAAGAAATGACTATGGTACTGGCCTTCAAAGGGTCAAATGAACAGATAAATCTCTTCTCCTACCTTTAAATAAAAGTAAGAACATTCACTGTTTTCTATGCCATAGAACTGCTGAATAATACAAATGTCTTTCAGTTGAATTGTAATTTTAAATTTAAATAATTCTTTATTTGTACAGAAAGCCACATAAACACACTGACCTCCTTTCTCAAGCTCAAAGAATGTTCCATGCTCAAGTGAATGGCAACTACCTGTTCAACTGTGTATATCTTCTCTCCCCCCTTCAAATCATATAACAGAGTTATGCTAGTTCTTTAATAAACAAATGGGTAGTCAAATATCGCACAAGAAAATACTTACAAGGGGTAACATTCAGCACAAGAAAACATTCGTCTGTGCCAACTCTGTTGGAAACAATGCAACTGTATGTACCAGAGTTATCCTGAGAGGCATTTTTCACAGAAAGTTCTCCTGTGTTTTTATCTACAACATTGAAGGAGAAATTTGGATTAGCATTTTTCTTCTATTGTAATTAGCCAATATTCTCAAAGAAGTTAACCCAAAGCATAAATGAAATTATTTAAAAAACTTATCTACCTTACTTATGTTATGCTAATGAACCCCTGGTCCAGTTCATATAATCTTTACCTTGGTATCAGTAAAGCCTAGTAAAAGTACATTTGAGGGTTTTATTTGCTATGGTTTCTTATCCAGTTAGTTCAGAGTAAATTGTCTTGTGCAACTGCATGAAAAGTAGACACTCTTCAACAGCTATATATTGACTATTCAGTTATGCATACTCTCTAGATTTGTTGGGGTGACCAATTTGCCTGACAGCAGGTTTTGTATTCCCGTCATCATGCCCTAGAGATTCTAATGGCTAGACCTAAAGAAGCTCTGGAGCCAAAAATTGAGATCAAGTGACTTATTTTTAGTTGAATAAATAAATGGCCTCCTTTCACAGATTTACAAGTTGGAAACCTGCTAAAGGCAGGTGCCTACACATCTTTCTCACTCAGAAAAAAGAGCTACTTAAAAAAAAAAATCAGGCCAGAGAGCTATGCCTTCTCCTTACCCAATAGCTCAGAAGGTTATAGCACTGACCCATAATCTAGGAAACCCAAATTCTCTCCATTTCCTTAGAGAAAACCCTAAGCATCAGGCTAGTGGCTATCTGGGTGGCAGCACTCCTGTTGAAGCTTCAGTTATAAGGAAAGAATTTAAGACATATTGGGTTCATCTACACTAGCTATTAATTCAGTTCAATAAACTCTGGCACAGTTTGCACTCATGTCAGTGGCTCCCAGGCACGGCATCTTCACATGCACCCAGGACCACAGCAGTTTGAGCTGGTGGAGCAGCCCCAGGGGGTCAGCCCCAGGCTCCAGATGGTGGGGCTAACTGGGGTACAAGTGTGCCAAAACTACAGAAGTATGGGACTGACCCCCAAAGCCTGCTGCCAGCCCAGGGTTTCTCCACCCTGACTCATACTGCTGCAGTACCAGTCACTGTCCACAGTGACTCTGCCAAAAGATAGTACTATCAGGGGCACTACTATCTTATGGCAGTTAATTTACTGTGCCCTAATATTGGCACGTGTAGACAGTGATGCTTTACTGCAGAACTAATTAGTAGTAAAGCACGTGTAGATGCACCCATGAAAGCAAAAGCAAGTGTGAGGATGCCTCTGTAACCTACTGATTCCTTTTCAAATGTTAAAAGGGGTAGCAACAAAAGTAAGAATGAATTACTTAGTTTATAATTATTTTTATAGCCATATAATATACAACAAAATATTTCAAGGATGTTTACAATAGATATTGCTCTCCCTTCTGGCCAGCAATTCTGCCTTAAAGTGTCAGCCTTCTTTAAAGCAAGATGAAGCAACAGTAAAAGAATTTAACAGTTGATAATACAAGTTTCAGATATGGTCAATTTGAGTCTGTTACTTCAAATTTTAATGTTCTATTTTGATTTAGTGAGCCAATATTTTAAGCATTCCCCAAACTTGCTTGCAATCAAACACTACTACATTAGTTCTCCCCTAATTCACCATCTCCAAACTTCTTCGTTCACCATAGGTACTCACATTTTTAATAATGTCTAACTACTTTTAGCCTGGAATTTACAATGAGCTTTCAGGGATACTGTTATATCTCTAGTTCATTTTAATATGAAGTACAGACTACATAATGACTAGTTTTATAATAGTTACTTCTATTTCACTATAATTTACCAGTAAACTAAAATAGAATGTCTGTTGGCTTCTTTCATCTAATTCATATGCAAGTGTCAAGACTTTGCCTGTCTTATGTTAAAACGGGCAAGAAATATTTAGTGCTTCAAGTTCAAACCACAAATAAGTCATGAATAAAAAACCACTAACCATCTTAAATATATTACTAAAATAAAAAATAGGAAAAGATAAAGAGTACTCAGTAAAGATGTAGCCGGAAGTTGTTCTGTGCCAGTGCCAGCAAGTTTTCTCCAGCTGTAAGACAAGAGCGGGGAGCCTTCCTGTGCTGCACATTTTAGGGTCAGGTCACTTCCAATTTCCTGTGATCCTTCAACGTAGCATTTAGTTCTTGCTGGCTTTACTAATAGATAAAATTATATTTAATTAATATAAGAATCAAGTCAGGAACTGTGTTCAAGAATGAAATTTTGATAAATTATTTAGCTGAATTTTTTGTGCTATCAAAACTAGTTTTTCAACTCAAAAAACAGAAGACGTTATATATAAAATATAAACCAATCATTATGGGGGTGTTTTTTTTGAGAAGGGTGTGGGGAAGGAAGAAATGGACGAAGAAAGATATCTTACCAAGCACAGTCAATTGTATTTTTTGGCTCTGAACTCCAGGAGCCTTCTTCACTTTACACTGGTATGTGCCAGTGTCTGTTGACTTTAGATTTAGAATATCTAAGGAGGCATCACCAGATTTTGGATCAGGATTGGAAAACTGCATTCGTCCATGCATGCCTTCATAGTAGTTACTATAGACCCTGTCTACAGTATACATAATTATCTAAAAGGAAGAAAAAAACCACAAATCTTCAAGCAGATCTGTAGATCAAATATTGGAAAATAATCTCAATTTATTTCTTCAAAAACTGGCCAGCCATTACTTTTTTCATGGTTTTAAATAAACTCAGCCCAAAAAAAGCATGCAGAAAAAACCCACATGACAATTTTTTTGGTGCGAAATGAAACATCTCCATTTCTAGAGCCAAACATCTCACTGATGAACCAAGATTGGCTAATATCTTCTAGTTTTGAGAGAGAAACATCACACTACTTGTGCGCTACAAATCTCCACATTTATTTATTTATTACCTTTTTGTCACCCTTCCCCCAGAAGGTTCATGGAGGCTTACAGTAAGAGAAAGTAAGTCAAAGAAGAAAACATTAAAATAAGAAGGCAGTACAACACTTAACTGCCCCCCACCCATGCAAAAAAAAACAGTGTGTGCCACTGTTGCTCTCCTGCCTCTTAAGGAGAACACCCTCCCAATCCACCTTCCCAACCTACATTCTATAACTTGGTACAAAGAAAATAGAAATTCTTCCTACCTCTTTTCCCTTCCATTCCTACCTACTCTGGGGAGTCCTCCCTCCAAGGCCTTCCCTCCGTCTTTGCCCCCCTCAGAAGCGTCATAGCTGTCTACAAAACCTAGCCATCCTCCCCCATCCAAGGCAGCACATAATTCAATTGAAAAAAGAGAATAAAATAGGAGATTGTCAAACACCCTCCATTACCCTCCCTCCCAGCATTATCTTTGTCCATGCCAAAGTGTGTCCTTGAGCACTGATCATGCCAGGGGGAGCTGCAGCCCCTTTTAAGCCCCCGTTGCAGCTTGGTCATGTGGTTTGCCTGCTCAGTAACTCAGCCTGTTCCCTCTCCAGTTTCAGCCCCAGAGTGGGGAGGTTGGGAAGGCAGGAAAAGTCAGAAGCCCCCAAAGGGCTTCATCTAATATTCATCCCTTCAAAGGATGGGTTCTAAGGAGATTAGCATGTCATAAAACCAAAAGTTTTTATTTTTGTGGCAAATGAGGATTTGTTTTGTTTAGGACAAGACTATCTCCTGTCAACAAAATATGGAAAATAAACTTTATTCATTCCAGAACTGTTTAATTTTTAAAAACTACTAGTCCATAGTAAGCAAGTACTTATACTCTTATTTAGTCCATAGTAAACAAGTACTTATACTCATATTTTGAAAGTCATATTCATATTTTTATTATGAAAAGTAAATACAAATCACCAATTTTATGACTGTTGCTTCTTAAACATGATCACATTTCCCGTCTTGAAATTCAAAAAAAGGTTTGATGTAGAGGAAGGATTTAATTTATGAAGTTTTTTTCAAACTAGAAGTTAAATTGCATTTGAAAAGCTCTGTGTACTCACAGTTTGTTCATTCTTTTGATTATCGATTGGTATTAAAACCCATTCGATATCTAATGGGCCTTCATCTTCTTGTGAGAGTGTGAACATACATGGCAACGTAACTTTCTCTCCTTGAGCTTTTTCAATCATAGGCTGGTCAGTTGGAGTTATTTTTAAGCCATCTGTTACACCTAGAAAGAAAAGTGGTTGTGGAAACAAAGCATTAAATATCTCATAATTCAACAACCGAAACCAAAACATATCAATAAACATTCTGTTTTCACAATAAGGGT